TTGAGACGGAATTTCACTCTTGTTGCCCAGGCTGGAGTGCAATGGCATGATCTTGGCTCACCGCAACCTCCTGACCTCAAGTGATCCGCTCACCTCGGCCTCCCAAAGTGCTGGCATTACAGGCATGAGTCACCGTGCCCAGCCTAAATGCTACATTCAATAATGTAGTTAACTTTAGTTGTGTACAGTTGGCTCTCCATATCTGCAGGGGAATACGTTTTTGGATCCCCCCCATGCATATCAAAATCCACGTGTGCTCAAGTCCCTTAGTCGGTCCCCCATCCATGGATTTAACCAACTGTGGATCGAAAAGGTTGGCCCTATGTATTAGAATCCACAGCGGTGGGACTGTATTCCCATCTCAACTCCAAGAATAGGCCCAAAGGAGACATCCCAAGGAACACTTTCTCAACTCTCATCACTGCGAAGATTTGTGCCTTGAAATGGGGAAGCGCCCGGCAGTGGTGGCTCATGTCTGTAATCCCAGCACTCTGGTAGGCTGAGGCAGGCGGATTGCTCGAGCCCAGGAGTTCAAGGCCAGCCTGGACAACATAGCAAGACCTGGTCTCTAAAATAAATAAATACATAAAATAAAATTTTAAAAAGAAAAGGGGGAAGCTTCTCTAAGGGTGCAAACAAGGAATCCCTCCTTTCTGTAGGATGTGGATTATTCTATTGCCTCCCTGAACTTATTTTATATACCACCTATGGCTACAATTAAGTGAGTTGGATTTTCACAAATGGCTAAAGTCAGCCTCGTTACTTTCCAGTCACACATTTAGGTCTCCTGGGGTGAGCAGAACAAGTGTTCTAATCACTTTCTAATTATTTTCCAATTAATTGAACCTGCCTCCTGTAAGGGGGTCTGAAGCAATATCTGTGTGTATGTACACTTAGACATCGAAGTGTGTGTCCTTGCTGGCGTGGTGGCTCATGCCTGTAATCCCAGCATTTTGGGAGGCCAAGGCAGGTGGAAGACTTGAACTCAGGAGTTTGAGACCAGCCTGGGCAACATGGCGAAACCCCATCTCTATCAAAAATATAAAAATTAGCTGGGCATGGTGGCGCATGCCTGTCATCCCAGTTACTCGGGAGGCTGAGGCAGGAGAATCGCTTGAACCCAGGAGGCAGAGGTTGCAATGAGCCGAGATCATGCCACTGCCCTGTAGCCTGGGCAACAGAGACTCCATCTCCTAAAAAAAAAAAAAAAAAAGGAGCAGACTCCAGAACAGAGCTGTAACCCCAATTGTTATATGCCACACTTATCCTTTATTTTTATTTATTTGTTTTTTTAGGGATAGGGTCTTGCTCTGTCACCCAGACTGGAGTGTAGTGGTGCAATCACAGCTCACTGCAGCCTCAAACTCCTGGACTTGGGTAATCCTATTGCCTCAGCCTCCCCAGTAGCTGGGATTAAGGGTGCGTACCACCATGCCTGGCTAATTTTTAAATTTGTTTTGTAGAGATAGGGTCTTGCTACATTGCCCGGGCTGGTCTGGAACTCCTGGCCTCAAGTAATCCTCCTGCCTCGGCCTCCCAAAGTGCTGGGATTACAGGCATGAGCCACTGCACCCAGCCATGCTGCATTTATCTACAGGACTTGAACAGAAGGCTTTTCTTTTTCTGTGTGCTTTTTCTTTTTTCTATGAAACAGAAGTGTGTTTCTAAAAAATGCTGGGCACACGGCGTAGAGTTTATAGAGAGGAAAGACTTAATTCACAGCTTCCTATACATCTACTATGTACACTGGAGTCTCTCAACTGCTGGGCTACCTGTAGCACAAATCTCTGCTGGTACCTACTTCACCATGAAGGTCTCCAAAACCAAACCGCCGGTAAGTTCTTCTTTTTCTCCCTTCAGTGAGGCTTCAGTGAGAATGGAAACTTCTCTTGTCAAGGTCATCAATAACCCCATTTTTGCAAAATTTAATAGTCATACTTCTGTCCTTATCTCACTGGCTTATGCACAGCACTTGCCATAGCTGATCACTCCCTGCTCCATGAAACTTTCCATTTGGCTTCTAGAACAACATACTTTCCTGATTTTCCTCCTGCCTCACTGACCATTCCTTCACAGTCTGCCTCTACTGATAGTTTCCCTGCCTCATACCAACCTCTTCATGTTGGAATGTCCTGAAACTCAGACCTTGGACCTCTTCTCTATACTCTGTTCTGTGGTTATCTCATCCAGTCTCATAGCTTTAAATGCCACCTAGAGCTTATGATCCCCAAATTTGTATCTCTAGCACAGACCCGTCCCACGTGAATGTTTAATAAACATCTAATGTATTGCATGTAAAACTGAACTTCTGATTTTCCCTTCCAAGCCTATCTAGTTGCAGTCTTCATCTTAGTTAATGGCCAAAATCCTTGATGTCATCCTTGACTCCTCTCTCATATCCCTCATCTAATCTATTAGGAAATCCTATTGGCTCTACTTTCAAAAATATATCCAGAATCCAACAATTTTTTTTTTTTTTTGAGATAGAGTTTCACTCTTATTGCCCAGGCTGGAGTGCAGTGGTGCAATCTTGGCTAACTGCAACCTCCACCTCCTGGGTTCAAGTGATTCTCCTGTCTCAACCTCCCAAGTAGCTGGGATGACAGTCGTGCACCACAATGCCTGGCTAATTTTTGTATTTTTAGTAGAGATGGGTTTTCACCATGTTGGCCAGGCTGGTCTCGAACTCCTGATCTCAAGTGATCCACCCATCTCGGCCTCCCAAAGTGCTGGGATTACAGGCGTGAGCCACCGCGCCTGGCCCCCTAACTATTTCTTACTACTCCACTCCTATCATTCTGGTCCAAGACACCATCCTCTCTCACCAAGATTATGTCAGTAGCCTCCTAATCAGTCTCTCTGCTTCCACCCTTGCCCTCATCATGTCTCTTTTCAATGTTGCAGCCAGCCTGAGTGAGTCTTGTAAAGCAAATTTTTTTCTTTTTCCTTTTTTTTTTTTAAGAGATGGTATCTTGCTTTGTTACCCAGGCTGGTCTTGAATTCCTGGCCTCAGGCTATCCTGCCTCAGCCTCTCAAAGTGCTGGACTTACAGGTGTGAACCACCGGCCCAGCTGTAAAACAGATTTGTCACTTTTGTGTTTAAAATTTTCCAAAAGTGCTTCTCAAACCTCAACCTCTCTCTTTTTTTTTTTTTAAAGACAGAGTCGCTCTGTCATCCAGGTTGTAGAGTGGTACAATCAGAGCTCACTGAAGCCTTGACATCCCAGGCTCAAGTGATCCTCCCACATCAGCCTTCCTTGTAGCTGGGACTACAGGTGCACACCACCATGCCCAGCAAACTTTGTGCTGGGATTACAGGCATGAGACACCACACCTGGCTGTGAAACAAATTTCTGTCATTCCTCTGTTTTATCTACATCTGTCTGTCTGTCTGTCTGTCTGTCTGTCTGTCTATCTATCTATCTATCTATCTATCTATCTATCTATCTATCTATCTATTTATCTATCTACTTATTGAGACAGGGTCTCACTTTCTCACCCTGGCTGGTGGGCAGTGGCATGATCAGGGTTCACTGCAGCCTCTACTTCCTGGGCTCAAGCGATCCTCCTGCCTCAGCCCCTCAAGTAGCTGGGACTACAGGCATGCACCACCATGCCTGGCTTTTTTTTTTTTAGTTTTCGTAGAGACAAGGTCTTGCTGTGTTGCACAGGCTGGTCTTGAACTCCTGAGCTCAAGTGATCCAGCTGGCTCAGCCTCCCAAAGTGTTGGGATTACAGGTGTGAGCCACCACACCTGGCCCATTCCTCTGTTTAAAACTTTCCAAGGGCAGGCGCGGTGGCTCATGCTTGTAATCCCAGCACTTGGGGAGGCTGACGCGGGCGGATCACGAGGTCAGGAGTTCGAGACCAGCCTGACCAACATGGGGAAACCCCATCTCTACTAAAAATACAAAAATTAGCCAGGCATGGTGGTGCATGCCTGTAATCCCAGCTACTCAGGAGGCTGAGGCAGCAGAATTGCTTGAACCCAAAAGGCAGAGGTCGCAGTGAGCTGAGATTGCACCACTGCACTCCAGCCTGGGCGAGAGAGCGAGACTCCGTCTCCAAGGGGGAAAAAAAAAAAAAAACAAAAACTTTCCAAAAGTGCTTCTCAAAACTTAAAGTGCTGGCAGGGCATGGTAGCTCATGTGTGTAATCCCAGCACTCTGGGAGGCCAAGGTGGACAGATCAACTTGAGGTCAGGAGTTCAAGACCAGCCTGGCCAACATGGTGAAACCTCGTCTCTACTAAAAATACAAAAATTAGGCCGGGCGCAGTGGCTCACACCTGTAATCCCAGCACTTTGGGAGGCTGAGGCGGGTGGATCACCTGAGGTCGGGAGTTCCAGACCAGCCTGACCAACACGGAGAAACCCCATCACTACTAAAAGTACAAACTTAGCCAGGCATGGTGGCTCATGCCTGTAATCCCAGCAACTTGGGAGGCTAAGGCAGGAGAATCGCTTGAACCCAGGAGGCGGAGGTTGTGGTGAGCCGAGATCGCACCATTGCCCTCCAGCCTGTGCACCAAGAGTGAAACACCATTTCAAAAAAAGAAGAAAAGAAAAACACAAAAATATAGCCGGGCCTGGTGGCTCATGCCTGTAGTCCCAGCTACTTGGGAGGTTGAGGCAGGAGAATGGCTTGAACCCAGGAGGTGGAGGTTGCAGTGACTGAGCTGGTGCCATTGCATTCCAACGTGGGTGACAGAGTGAGACTCTGTCTCAAAAAAAAAAAAAAAAAAAAAAGGAAATTAATTCAAAGTTTGTACAAATTACTTAGGGATCTTGTTAAAATGAAGATTCTGATTCAGCAGGTCTGGGGTAGGGCTTGAGATTGTTTTTTGCTTTTGTTTTTGTTTTTAGATGGAGTCTCGTTCTGTCTCCTAGGCTGGAGCGCAGAACTAACAAGCTGGCAGGCCATGCTGAGGCTGCAGGCTTAGAGACCAGCTTTCAGTAGTAAGGGCCTACAAGGCCTTGTGTGATCTGGTCCCTTGTTACTTATGCTTTCCCACTACTCCTTCCCTCTCACTGTGCTCTGGCCATTCTGATCTTGCTTCTCCTCAAATAAGTCAGGTATAGTCCTGCCTCAGGGCCTTTGCACTTGATGTTTCTTTTGACGAGAACACTCTCCCCAGGCATGTGAATTGCCTGCTCCCTCACCTCCTCTTTCACTCACTTTCCTATGCTTTTTCTCCATAGCACTTACCACCTTTTCATATTCTATATAATTGTTTTTTGCTTTTGTTTTTGTTTTTAGATGGAGTCTCGTTCTGTCTCCTAGGCTGGAGTGTAGTGGCGTGATCTTGGCTCACTACAACTTCTGCTTCCTGCGTTCGAGTGATTCTCCTGCCTCAGCCTCCTGGGTAGCTGGGACTACAGGCATATGCCACCAAAACCAGCTAATTTGTGTATTTTTAGTAGAGATGGGGTATCGCCATGTTGGCCAGGCTGGTCTCGAACTCCTGACCTCAGGTGATTTGCCTGCCTCGGCCTCCCAAAGTGCTGGGATTATAGGCATGAGCCACCACACCCAGCCCTATAATTGTTTGATTATTGTCTATTCCCTCCACCAGAATGTAAGCTCCATGAAGGCTGGGATTTTTGTCTTCCTGTAAAACAAGGCCTGGCAAATAGTAGACACTCAATAAATACTTGAGGGAATGATTGCTGGTATCCACTAGGTAGACCATGAATAAGAAATATGTTAACTTGATAGCTGGTGTGAAAAGAGCCAAAATAACATCCATGAATCTAGGGGAATGGTCATCAGAGGAGCAGGGCTGGTACCAAGCATGCCTGAAACACAACAGACATAAACATTTTATTTCCTCTTTGCCTTCCCATCCTTTCCCAAAAGTTATTTGCACCTTGGCCTGATGTTAAGGCTTTGTATATGACCACAGTCAGTGAGCCATCTATGTCCTATATGCATCCTATCCTAGTACAAACGCCTATTCAGAGCGTTTGGAACCTGCGGTAACCTAAAGAGGTGCAGTATGTGGAGATCTTACTTCTGGTCATATATCCCTCTACCAGCTGTCTTGCTAACTGGCCAGGTCAGAGGTCAGGAAGTGAGATTGGTGGAGGGGAACAAGACTACACCAGAGACCACACAGAGAGAGGTCTTGGGAGAATGGCTCTTGCTCAAAATTCCAAGTATAATTTTGGAGGCAAGGATGGGAGGGACTACTGAGATAATAGTACAACCTACATGATTATGCTGCTTTAAAAATGTTTCAAACCTTTTCATCTATATTAATTCATTCTCACGCCATTCCTAAGAGGTAGAGATTGTCAGTTGAGTAAAGTGGAGCATGTAAAGAAGGTTAATGACTTACACTCCTATTAATGAGGAGCACAAGCCTGTCCCAACTTATTTCCAATTTTGTAAAGATTCTTAAGGTATTTGTTGTCAAAAAGATATTTTGGGGAACAGAGGTTTAAAGTGACAAAAAACTATCACCTATAGAATCCCAATTCATAAGCAAGATGAATTCTAGAAATTCAAGAGTATGCATATGGGCAAGTGTAGGGAAGTAAGGAATTAAGAGTTGGTATGATTGGGCTGGGCGCGGTGGCTTATGCCTGTAATCCCAGCAGTTTGGGAGGCTGAGGCAGGCGCATCACCTGAGGTCAGGAATTCGAGACCAGCCTGGGTAACAAGGTAAAACTCTGGCTCTACTAAAAATAAAAAAATTAACTGGGCATGGTGGTGGGCGTCTACGAACCCAGCTACTCGGGAGGCTGAGGCAGGAGAATCACTTGAACCTAGGAGGTGGAGGTTGCAATGAGCTGAGATCATGCCACTGCACTTACGCCTTGGAGACAGAGCAAGACTCCGTCTCGAAAAAAGCAAAAAGAGTTGGTATGACTGGTCTGGGCTAACAGTTGTCCTTCTCCTTTTTAGGATGCACCCATTGGTGTTTTTTATGTAGGTGACCACCAAGCATTAGTTCACAGGTAATGAACATTTGGAGGTTTGTTTTAAAAGGATGGGAGAAAGGTCATTACACTCCAGGAATCCATCAGTTGCACAACAACAGATAGTTCATGTAATGGTCACTTTTCTTCTTTGGACCACCAACCCCATTAGAATGGGCTGAAATTGTTCTGGAAAATTATTTTTCTTAGTGTCTGGTTTTTCATTCATTATAAGCTTGAGGATTAGTTGCTGCAGTGGGGTGGGGACAAAGTGGGTCATGTCTATTGTTTCTATGGAAAATTTCAATATCACATAAAATTAACTTATGTATAATAATTCCTTTTATAGCAGCTCTCTTAAAGTATCTTTACATATAAGCTCATTAATCCTTTCATTGACTGGGCTTAAGAAACAGTAAAGGATATAGAGAACCCTAGCTACCTCCCCTCCCCCGCCAATAAAAGAGGCTTCTTGCTTACTAAGAATATAAAAGAGTAAACAGGAAATCCCCTTTGTTTGATTTTAAAAGCTTTTGATTTAAAAATACTTTAAAAGTGTTTGTTTTTCTTCCTCTGTAGACCAGGAATGGTTCGCTTTCGAGAAAACTGGCAGAAGAATCTTACTGATGCCAAATACAGTTTCATGGAGTCGTTCCCCTTCTTATTCAATCGTGTCTGATTCTTACAGGATGTCTTAGGATTGTTTTTCTCATCAGGATATATTAAAAATACAATACAGCACATCAAACCACAGAATATTTATTAAGTAATAAACTTGTGGCACACAATCCAGCTGTATTTTTTTGCATTCATTCATTTTCCATTCTGCAACCTCTATCACATTAGCAGAATAACCAGTAAGTTGTTTTCTATTTTCTAAAATATTTTTTTCCATCACTATATGCATCACTTCTGAGTCTTACAGGTATAGAGCTGAGTTTAGAGAGTTGTTAAAATTCACCTATTGGACCAAACTAAGGTTGGTCCTTGGCTGTTTGTTCCCCATCTGAGCCTAAGTCTCGAGCTCAGACACATCTCTTTATGGACACAACTGGGGAACAACAAAATGGCAACAGTTCTACAGCTCATAATATAACCAGTCTGAAGGGTTCCCCTACTCACAGACTCCTTCATTTACTGGGAGTTAAGCCTCACTGCTAAATAATTTATTTTGAAACTGGAAAACCGGGCATGCTGCCTTCCACAATACACCACTATACTCATGATGGCAGGAGGGTGGCTTGGGGACTAGGGGCAATGACACGGGAAGGATTCAGTCACTGCCCTTACTTATCTTTGATCTTCTTCCCATCCTCACACTGAATAATCACTTGTTCCTACCTTCCCTGTGAACCTCTCTTGCCTGGCTGCAAAATTTTAAGACACCAAAGACAAAATTACATTATGCTCTGAGTGATTACTTACAAGTACATCAGAATACTTATTTACATAGAAAAGCACTGGAAAGGAGGAACACAAAATATGAAAGACAATTGATACGGTACGGAAATTTTTCTTTTTTTTTTAACTGTAAGAAATTTGTGCAATAAATAAAAAAGGAGGGAAAACCATATCAGAGCAACAGGCAAGGAGGTGGCAAACTAGGTAAGTCTCCTTGGAGAATAAAAAATATATTTAAAATACAATAGCCCTACTATAACTGATTTATGGCTCAGGTGACTAAACACAATTTGAAGCAGTAACAACACTCATGAGCTGAAAATAAAATACTTTTAGCTGTTTTATTCTTCCTGCCTCTTTCCCAAAGAATATGCCAATGAAGCTGTTCTTGATGTCACAATATGCATATATAACAAAATTTCTGCATTTAAACTACCTTGCCTACTGAAAATAGGAGAACATAATCATTTCATCTCTAGGAACCAGTAACCAAAAAAAAAAAAAAAAAAGTCCTTAGAGATTATTTATTTATTTATTTATTTATTTATTGAGACAGAGTCTCATTCTGTATCCTAGGCTGGAATACAGTGGCGTGATCTCAGCTCACTGCAACCTCCACCTCCCAGGTTCAAGTGATTCTCCTGCCTCAGCCCCCCGAGTAGCTGGGACTACAGGCACGTGCCACCACGCCCGGCTAAATTCTTTGTATTTTTAGTAGAGATGGGGTTTCACCGTGTTAGCCAGGATGTTCTTGATCTCCTGACCTCATGACCCACCCACCTGGGCCTCCCAAAGTGCTGGGATTACAGGCGTGAGCCACCACGCCCGGCTGAGAATAAAATTTTTAAGTGGGTATTATAAAATTCAGGTTTTATTATTCAGGGAAGTAGATGGATTGAGATTCAAAACTTTGGGAACTAGTTTCTTTTTAACTTTTGAAAACTACAGATTTATTAGGCTAGGCAGCAACTATGATTAGGTATAAATAAACAGAAATTCAGGGGTCATTAATGTTGCTACATGCTCTTTATTTCAGTAGTTGCGGGTTAAAAGTAGACATTTCCTGGAACATATATTTAATAGTATTTATGACTGTTAATACTATTTAATAATAAAACTTTTGGCTGGGTGTGGTGGCTCACGCCCAGCACTTTGGGAGGCCGAGGCGGTGGACTGTTTGAGGTCAGGAGTTCGAGACCAGCCTGGGCAACAAGGTGAAACCCCGTCTCTACTAAATATACAAAAATTAGCTAGGCATGGTGGTGCACACTGGTAGTGCCAGCTGCTCAGGAGGCTGAGGTGGAGGATTGCTTGAGCCCAGGAGGCAGAGGTTGCAGTGAGCTGAGATTGCACCACTGAACTCTAGCCTGGGTGACACAGGGAGACCCTGTCTCAAAAATAATAATAAAAAAACTTTTGCTCTATACTTTGAAATATGACTGCCTTATTTAAACACTTGAAAAACAACCACTTAAAAATATAAGGCAAGAGGGCATTTTACAATAGTATAATCAGAATGTCCTTATCACCCAGGTAATTTAAATTTATCATAGGCATGTAATAATAATGCAGATCAAACAACCTTAACAAAAACAGCCAGGCACGGTTGCTCACACCTGTAATCCTAGTATTTCGGGAGGCTGAGGCGGGCAGATGACTTGAGGTCAGGAGTTCGAGACCAGCCTGGCCAAGATGGCGAAACCCCATCTCTATTGAAAATACAAAAATAAGCTAGGTGGGGTGGTGAGTGCCTGTAATCCCAGCTACTCGGGAGGCTGAGGTGGGAGGATCACTTGAACCCAGGAGGCTGAGGTTACAGTGAACCAAGATCGCACCACTGGGCTCCAGCCTGAGTGACAGAGTGAGACTCTATCTCAAAAAACAAAAAACAGAAAACAAAACCAACTTTAACGAAAACAGCCAAAACTTTCAGGGTTCCCTCCCCCATTCACTCTTCTGACCTAAACAAAATTGAACAAAATAAACGAAGGAACAATATCATGATATCAGAGTCCCACAATTTTCCATTTCTCTCCAACTTAAAAATAAACAGAAAGGTTTAACAGTGTATAAAATGAAATCTACTTAGTATATGAAAGACAGTTAAAAATATTTAATATCATTTTAGTTTCTCTTATGAAACAATTAAGCTAAAATACTGACTCATTATATTTTTCCTTATCAGAACTCCTATTCTTTTGGATGTCATCCTATCCTCAAGCTCATATCAGCTCAGATTGAAAGTACTTACATGGGCATAAAGAGTAGACTTCTTAAGACTTTATATTTGAAAGAACCATTTTTAAGTAACTTATTAAGAATTTAGGCCAGACGCGGTGGCTCATGCCTGTAATCCCAACACTTTGGGAGGCCGAGGCGGGCAGATCACCTGAGGTTGGGAGTTCTAGACCAGCCTGACCAACATGGAGAAACCCTATCTCTACTAAAAATACGAAATTAGCTGGGCATGGTGGCACATACCTGTAATCCCAGCTACTCAGGAGGCTGAGGCAGGAGAATTGTTCGCACCCAGGAGGTGGAGGTTGTGGTGAGCCGAAATCGCCCCATTGCACTCCAGCCTGGGCAACAAGAGCGAAACTCCATCTCAAAAAAGAAACAATTTAAAATATCTAATGTTCGTATTTTCAATTCAACAAATCTGTGGGTTAGTTTGCTTTTTGGTTTGTTTGTTGGTTTTAGAGTGGAGGCAGGGACTTAAATCAAAACCCATTATTTCCAGGGCAGATCATATATTATAGTACACAAATCAGTTTTCAAATTCCAGATTTGCTTTTCGCAGCAATGCCTTCATTTTGTTAACAAAAGTGGCCTCCTATATGTTTCTATCAAGTCCATTTGTAACACATTCAACACAGAGGAGTGATAATTTCCTAAAAGTTCAGCTGGGGTAGAGGTGGGGGTGGGGCAGGCACCACATAAGAGCTAATAGTAGCACTGTCTCATGGTGTGAGATTGAAGTTTCTCATCTCACTAACACTTTTTTTCATGCCACCTCTTCCAATACAGTAGGATTTTAATCATAATTTGGATTTTTTTTTTTTTTTTTTGAGACAGTTTCACCCTTCTTGCTCAGGCTGGAGTACAATGGCACAATCTCGGCTCACTGCAACCTCCGCCTCCTGGATTCAAGCAATTCTCCTGCCTCAGCCTCCCAAGTAGCTGGGATTACAGGCGCCCACCACCATGCCCGGCTAAATTTTGTATTTTTTGGTAGGGACAGGGTTTCACCATGTTGACCAGGCTGGTCTCGACTCCTGACCTCAGGTGATCCACCCACTTTGGCCTCCCAAAGTGCTGGGGTTACAGGCGTGAGCCACCGTGCCTGGCATTTTTTTTTTTTTTTTTGAGACAGAGTCTTGCTCTGTTGCCCAGGCTGCAGTGTAGTGGCACAATCTCGGCTCACTGCAACCTCCACCTCCTAGGTTCAAGTGATTCTCCTGCCTCATCCTCTTGAGTAGCTGGGACTACAGGTGTGCGCCACTACTCCTGGCTGATTTTTAGTAGGGACAGGGTTTCACCATGTTGGCCAGGCTGGTCTCGAACTCCTGTCCTCAAGTGATCCCCCTGCCTTGGCCTCCCAAAGTGCTGGGATTACAGGCGTGAGCCACCATGCCCAGCCCATAATTTGAATTTTTAAACCAGAAAGTTATTATGGTCAATCCAAAATAACCCAAAGAACTTGCTGAAGTTATATCAATAAGTAGCTTTTTATTGAAGGACTGAAAGAATTAAATAGAAGGCACAGTAGCACTGTAAAGCTTTCTCAGAACATAATAATCTTTTTCTATGTATGTGTGGAACCCAGACTTTCTTTTTTGTTGTTAAAAATGTCTTCTGGACAATCAGAAAATCCTTATTTGTCATCCTTCCCTTTGGTCTTTCTGTAAACCATTTCCCGAAAACTGGCCAGAATCTTGTTCTCTCTCTTTCGTCTCTCTTCTTGGTTAAAGGATGCAAGGGCTCTCTTCTCATCAGCACTATAGATCTGGTTCTCTTTTCGCAGTCGCACAGCCTCCATTCGGCGATGCCTGGAGAGAATTTTATTTTTGGCTTAATTTCTCAGTAATTATTTTCATAGTACATCCTCATTAATCTTTTCTTACCCAGAGTGGTCTATTTAACAGCTGACAAATAAAAACTGTTTTTGAAATGGGTTAAATTTCCAAAAGATAATTTATTAATATTTTAGCTGCCTGACACGTCCTTTTTTTTTGTTTTGTTTTGTTTTGAGACGGAGTCCTGCTCTGTCGCCCAGGCTGGAGTGCAGTGGTGCAATCTCGGCTCACTGCAACTTCCACCTCCCTGGCTCAAGCAATTCCCCTATCTCAGCCTCCTGAGTAGCTGGGATTACAGGTCCGGCTAATTTTTGT